ACACATTAATATGATTTTAATTCTACAAAATGCACTTAAAATAGAGCAGATTTCAAAACCCCTAAAGGATTACATTGTTTGTGACGAGCTGACGCTTTGCTTGTCGAGAACTTTTAATACTACGTCACGTTCTCGCCACATCAAAGGAAGTAGCCGAGATCGCGTCTCTCCCACGCTGAAGTCGGTCAGCTGCAACATACAGCTTGTTTTCGGGGTTCAAAAAATGGAGTAGACAGTCCCGATGTCGTTTACTTGAATGTAACCTGCAGAGTTAAAAGTTTTTTTTAATCTTGAATTAAAAAAAAAGTTTTTTTTAAACCTTGAATTTGAAAATTTTAAGATTTTTTCAGTCCATTACAAATATTTAAATCGGTCGATTATTTTATTCTATTATCGCAAAATTTACTTTTTTTTCATATTTGCGTACAAGTATAAAAGTCGAGTAGTGCATGATTCATTGATCACTGGATTTATTAGTTACGCTTATCAACCCAAGTCATGCATGCTGAGATTGTTGCAATTTGGTACAAAATATACTGGTGAAAAATGGAGACCCTCTTTATGCGTATATTCGAGAGAAAAGATAAAGAGGGAAGGCCGGGTAAGACGTGTCCATTTACCTTCAAATTTTATCGATTGAAGTTCAATTTATTTTTAAGTTTTAACGAAGGTTGTATGTACAGGGTAATTATTACCAAACGACGGAAAATATCTATCATGGGCGTCGGAAGCAAATTAAAGTGGGGGGCTATGGGTAAGAAAATTTTTTTAAACCTCCCAAAAAAAAACCTGAGAAGCAAAAAAAAAAAAAACACACACACACACACAAAACAAAAAAAGGGATGTGTATTTTCCAAACACGAAAATCCTATTTCGTGCGTATGCCTACGCAGCAATGTTCAATGTCTATACTATGTCTATAAAGCCAAAATCTTATAACACATGCATTTTCTGATTCCTAGAGATGGGTCTGGCAGATTTGAAAATAAATAAACTGTTCTCGAAAAAAATTAAAATTAAATACTAGTAATCTATCCTCGACCAGCAAGAAAATAAATAAGCTGTCCTTGGATATATAGTACTCCCAACCCCCAATCCCCACCCAAAACAGAGTTTCTCTTTATCCTTGGCTTGTCAAACTTTTTTCAAATGCAGAAAAAGTTATCCGTCGCTGACTTACATGATGATATGAAAAAAATCTGAAACGAATTTCACCAACCCCTCTCCTGGGCGCCCCTTTACTCACACAGTGTATGTACATTCATTTTTACAAGGTATATATATTATATAGGCAGCTGCTGTAACAAGGAACAATCGTTTTGACCCTGACTATTGCCATTTTGTACAGGCCCAGATGTGATAATTATACCCTCGGAGTAAAATCTACCTGTCAGGTGACGGTTTACAGTGAGTAGTTTTCAAACACGATACAGGTTCATATCTATAGATTCAAAAATTTCTGTATGAGAATAGCCATCTCATTTTGAAGGATTTAAGTCAGGGGCATTTTATTTTTGTGGACATTATTAAACATTTGTTTTTGGTGGTAAAATTGATAAATTTCTCCTGAAAGCAAAGAACCCCACAGAAAACGAAAAGCAGGAAAAGAAAGGTTTACGGCTGGATATACATGTACACAACTTGAGCAGTATAGGACGGTTCCAACGTATTTGAACTTCTTAGAAAAGATTATATTTAGACTTTTTGCTGTTTCCGTATCAGTTCATATCTGTTTAATTGGAATTAAAGAAAAAATTGAATATTATATAGTAAGTCAAATGTTATTGCTCTCTATATCACTTCTCAATGCGATAATTCTGCCCCCCACTTTTTCCCATCCTTACTTATACTATGAAATGTTAATAGGAAGCCTGGTTGCCCCCCCCCCCCCCCCACACTTTTAGTGATGTACCGAAAATGTATTATTAGAATTGGTAGTTGACACTGAGAAAAAGTTAACCTACCCCCCCCCCCCCCCCACGAAATAGAATTTGGGCAACTTTCCCCCCTTTTTTTTTGCTTGTCAACTTTTTCAGGTAAGTAAAAAAAAACATTTCTCTGGCTGCCCCCCCCCCCCCACTTTCAAAAACGATGCTACGCGCCTGACTAAGGACTATGTCACAATAAACGATGACACAAAACAGATCTCTCACTGTTCAATCATTTTCTGAAAGCCCAGTACAAATTTAAAACTTGCAGCCCTCCACCGGCAAGTATTGATGTCTCAATATGAATGGTGAATTCTTAGAAGGGATGTTAAACAATCAAACAATATTTACAAAACAAACATTTTGAATTATAATTTACAAACCATCTAAATGAAAATGAGGCACCCGGTGAGAGGACTGATTTACACGAAATTGAAACAAGAGTTGAAAATATTAATTTAGCACGAAGACACACATAATTCATAAGTTTTCACTTTTTAGAAAACTCCAAAAATTTGGTGAAGCATTTGCCTCACTTGCTTCAATGGTAGTTACGGCCTTGGTAGATAAAATTGGGACCACTTATGCATTTAAACTTTCAATACTGAGCTGATTTCTGCTATTTTCTTAGCCATAGAGCTCAGGTAAGCGATGTAGCCCATGGGCCTCTTGTAGTTCCACTGCGTTAGTACAATATAAATATTCATTGCATCGCATAATTATTAAAAGTTGTCTTAGCATTCGATAAAGTTGTCCCACAGTTGCTGAAATTGCACCTGTTTTTCATTCTACCCCCCCCCCCCAATATGGAGGATATGTTGCTGTTTGCAAAAACTCTGCATACGCAGTGCTCAGTATGGGTTCCCTGTTATGGGTATTTACATGTTCTTACAGAAATCTCAGTTTTATAAAGGATAGCGAAAATGTGCTTTTGAGTACTTTTCTACATAATGCGCAGTATTTAAGAATTCTGCAGCAGTGCATGCATGTCGTATATGAGCAATCAGAATGGATTTAATGTGTGCTTACTGATAATTAAAAAATCAGAGTGCAAAATTAATGAAAATACCTGATCATATTTTAAACATCACTGATGCAACAGAGTGAAATACATATATGCAGCCACTGAAACGTTTCCTGGAGAGAGATAAAGAGAGAGAGAGAGAGCTATTATACGTGTTTATTTTTTAAAGCAAAACTCTGCACCCGTTCTAATTTAGTATTTTGATATAATTATTGACAATTGTGAATAGGCATACTTCTCTTCATGACAGAAATGTTCTTTTATGTATAGATACTTAAAGTACAAGTACATATTATACTGGTATAATACGGTTGTTTGGGGTATACATGAAAAAAAAATCTATGTACGTATACAAGTGTAGTTTAGTTCTCAAGTCTTTCACTTCATGGTTTGATACATAAACGGAATATTTCTCTTTTCCACAGAAAAATCATTTCACATCAACAGTACTAACAATTTGAAAAATAATACACAATCCGAGAATGACCAGGACGAAATACTTAAAATCCAGCAATTTAAATTGATCATGTACATCATTTTATATCGCATGTATACCGTGCCATATACACAAATGGTAAATGCTATAAAATTAAATTTTCACGGCCATTAATTTATTATGGACTCTAAAAATGCATATAATATAAATAATGCTCTTTTTTTAAACTGTTTAATAAGATTTGTGTTTTCTATCCCCTTTTGTAAACCCGTTAAACGTCGGCGATGTATTGCAGCTGACCGACTTTAGCGTGGGGGAGACGTTATCTCGGCTACTTCCTTTGAAGTGGCGAGAATGTGACGTAGAATTTAAAGTTCTGGACAAGCAAAGCGTCATCTCGTCACAAACAATGTAATCCTTTAGGGGTTTTGAAATCTGCAATAATATAACTCTAACTATCAGACTCCAGCCTCATTAAACATTCAAGAATTCAGCAAAATAAACCAGTTGTTCACGAACCTTCCTTTCTGTGTTTAAAAATTGCTACGGTGCTAGCTCACATCTTTTTTAAAAGGTAAAACTTGTGTTTCTGAGTTGATTCGATTCGCAAGAGCTTACGTAAAGTAGTTACCACCTGCATATAGGGGTTTATGTCTCTTAGTTGATTCGATTTGCAAGAGCATGCATTTACATATGAACAATTTCTAGAGCGAGGGAAAGTATTGACAAATAAGTAGATGAAACAAGGATCGATATCGAAGTTATCATTTCACAATTGTTTGGTCTATATATACATTCAGCAAATACAACCCATCATTGAGGCAAATGTTGACAACTTTTTTTCATACTGCTGGTCAATTAGTTAATTGTCTACGGATTTTTTCGATCATAAGGAGCACACGGAATCGGCATGGGATGCTCACTCCTCCATGGCATCTCTCATGTATTAGAGGTCCGCGGACTTTTGAGCTTGAATACTCTCCATTATCTCTATATTTCACTTTTTCAACATTAAGAGAAAATCATACTTTATCAATATCTTTCAACATGATAATCATGCCTGTACGAACTAATAATAGCATGTTTCCGCCACATGATTCTTCAATTTTAAATTTGATACAAGTTCTTGAACAGACAAAAATCGATAAAAATTTTGCTTTTATTGCCAAATTAACAAGATGATCTTTTTTCATTCACGCAAAATCAATAAACGAACCATTCTTTATAAGCCTATATACATGATATATATGCCCTTATTATTGAGGTCTCTCAACCATTTCAAATCGATATGCTCAATTACATTAACAGTCCGACAAGATAACTAATTTTAAAATTTCAAAGTCTTATCTGCCGTGTTAAAGGGATTTCAAGACGACCAGACGAGACAAATTGTTTGCAAAGTATCAATTAGATTGACTAAGTGTGTATACTCAAACGCTTATCCGGTAAACAAAGTAGTACGCAGCACTGTTTGCGTTCTAAAACCCTCTGTTGTCTTTCCCAGTATCTGCGCCCATTGATTAATTCAACAGGCGCAAACTATCAGCTGGTGGAAGTACACTCTCCATAGGTTCGATAACAATGCACTACTATAGCGTGTATAGTCAATCAACAAAAGATCAACAAGAGAAGTTTACAAAGTTTGAAGGTTTATGAATAATTAAAATAGAGACTAGCACTTTTCGTGCTACATATTCTTGACCGTTGAATAGGGTCAGCAGTGCGTAACATAGCGTGATTGCACAACTATTTGCTATATAATATTTCCTTCTCATTTATTCGGTGCTTGCGAATTAGGACATATGTTCCTTGTTATGGGAGGTTTAATCCATGACATGGTCGACCCAGGTTATAGCAATACCTGAACAAAGAACTACATGTAGTTGTGCTTCTAGAACGTATCGGTTAAACAGTGCTGAAAACATTTTGTGTATTGAGACGTTTAATTTACCAAACGGAAAGCATATCGAATGTTTCGCCTTAAGGCTGATTTACCGATTTTGAATTTAAAATTCTGGCATTCAAGTCAAGAGGATACGGAAATAGTAAATGACTTGCAGTGTTTCGTTTCAAAGTTCATGAGGTTGTGTGTGAAATAGTTCTTATTGATAGCGAGAATACGGGACAGATATTCTGGGGAGATATAATAATGTGGAATTTTCGATAATAAAACATGGGATGTTTAAAGTCACGGTTTGCTTCCAACAATAACAAGGAAAAATACGTCCAGCCGGAAGAGCCAGAACTAACAGACACACAGATTGAAATTTTAGAGAAATCATGGGAATCACTTAAGCATGATATTGCAAAAGTTGGAGTTATAACTTTCATGAAGTGAGTATTGATCATATCTTTTTTTTTACTTGTACATGTATATATTATACATGTTGCATGTACATATTCGCAAAATTTTAAAATAAGTTTTAAGAGGGCTGGGTGGTTGTAGCCATTTTTAGACTACATGTATATTGATCTCCTTTATAAAGATAATACAAAAATGATGAAATTTTAAACCTAAAATGTGTAAAAGTTTACTTTGCCCTCTGCAAAGTAAAATTAATTTTACACATTTAAGTTTTAAAATTTGATAGTTGACAGCTTAAGATATCATGTAAGTAAAATTTTACTCTTGTTAGTTTTAAAATTTGATAGTAGACTGCTTAATATATCAAATATAAAAATAAGGTATATCTGATGCTTAATTCGTTGATCCTCCTCCACCCCAGCTTATTTACATGCAACAATCGCGTTTAAAAAGATACATGCAATACTTTTGAAAACAAAGACAGATATATAGAACGATGTTATTGCATTACATTTGATGTATTGTATTATCAACAAGAAATCAACTTGTTTAGCAGACCACGTTACCACATGGAAGTTTTAAACTTTTGCTCCGTTGAAAGTAGTTTGTACCTTTGACCCTGAACTTTAGTGAATTAAATTTGTTTTTTCTTCTTCCCTTTATCTCCATTTAATTTTTCACAAAGTGTTCATAATTCCTTTTACGAACTATTTCTTTGCTCTGAATATCAGGTAAATATCCACGGGGGCTTTTTATAAGTGTTCCGGTCAGTTAATTCTAATTAGTAGGGAATAGCAGTGGTATCAGTAAATCTCGATTGATAAGTAAGTCAGGCAAGGACATCCATATCCCATTGTATATGCTTCATTGACTAGATGTATGTTTAAGAAAAATTATCAAACCACAAGTAAAACAAAATATAAGAAAAAAAATCAGCGTATGAATTATTGAGATGTACATTGTACCTAATTTCTGTTGCTATGAACGTACTGTAGAAAACAAGCTTTTGAAAAAGCAGGAACTCTTGACATATGCCATGCGTTCATAACCTTTTTGTTATATAAGCCATGTACATGTTACTGTATATATTTTCTACTGCTTACATGAATCACCACGTGGGCTGTGTAATGAGAACTTTATACTTTCATAAGTTTCTTCTGTTCAGATTTTGTTTTATTATTGTATTTAAATTTCAGACATTTAATTCTTTTTATTTACAGAATATTTAAACTTCCGAAAGGTATAGAAACCTGTTGAGAAAGAATTCATTGTATTGAGTTTTCATGAAGTACATTGAGTACATGTACAATTAAAGCACAATAATTTGGTGTTAAAAGTTGATAATCTTTGCATTTGTAAATATTACTGCGTTTTAAATCGGTAATCATGAATGCTTTGAAACACTTAAAACAGTTAAATGAAATATATATTAATCTAGCATCAATAATGTTTAGCCTTTTTTAAAATCTGATATTTTCTGGAGAGGGATAAAATTCTTTAGTATATATCTGTGCTGCTGCAAAATATTTTTTTCTTATTACGAACGACTTCAGACAAAATGAATCCTGTTTTTTTTTTTAAATTCTTTTACTTTTATAAGATGCAGGTTTTATTCAGTGTCAACAACAAAACGCGAAAACCAGGTAAGTTTACCAGCCGTTCTCCTCAGCAGCCATGGCCGCTCTCGTGCAACGTACTGAGACTTGCGCTTAAAATTTAGAATAACTTGATAAAGCTAATATCGGTGTTATTTAAGAATTATATTATATAACATCACTTAAAAACGATAATTAAAACATTCCATGTGGAATTTCTTTCGTTAACATATTCAAGCTATAGGGAAAACCTAAATAGATTCCTAGATCCTGAGTTCTCATTGATTGTTCTAAAGTATATTCGATCAAAGTATAGTATACATGTAATTATGGCGGATAATTTAAAGTTGAGAAGTTCACATATACAAAAATCAACCGAAATATTGATTGTACTGTTTATTTTTGGATCGATTTATGTACACTGTATAGCTTCATTTTTGGATGTCCGGTACGTAATTAATAAAATAGCATTAACTGATACATGTAGTTTGAACCGAAATCTTTGCGGGAGAGAATCAGTGTGATCTACACCTATTACATTCACAAAACAACCAAAGGACAGCAACAATTTTTTAATTTTAAACAACACTATCTGGGGATCATGTGTGCAATGAGGGTAATGAACATACATGTAATATCGACAGCAACATTACGTACATGTATGACTTTTCAGCCAGCGACAATATGTACCGATGGACGACGATATGTGACGATAGTATGTACGGCCACAGACAAACTATGTGTTTTTCTATTGTGATGCAGACGGGGGGGGGGAGGGGCATTTTGCAAATTTAAAACATAAACATTATGAATAAAATCGAAACATAACCTACAATGATGCTTTGTGTAGAGGAGTCTTTAATTTACTTTGTCCAGTGATTTTGTTTTTTCAAAATGGTTTGAGTAAGTTGGGTCTCATTTTTTATAACGTTATTTTGTTCAAAGCTTTAACCCTGGATTAATGATAAAGACAGAAAGCGCGATTACTTTGATTCTATACTGCAACTAGAGGTACTGTGACCATGAGCTCACTAAATCGTAAATGATACCCCCCGCCTCCCATATGTGTATAAATGGCAGTGTCCATGTTTTGCTATGGGAAACCCAAAATATGTCCGATCAAAAAGTAAAATAGAAGATGCACATTGGCAATATGTGATAAAGATCCTGTGAAAGTTTCAACAAATTTCATTCAATGGTATGAGAGGAGTTGCGGGTAAGAGATGGGTACCCAAAAGCGTAACAGACGGACGGACGTACGGACGGACATCCCGATTACAGTATACCCCCTCACTTTTCAAGCGGGGGGTATAATAATATACATATTGGGAATACCTGATGATGTCGCGAAACAGGACTAAAACAGTTATTCAGGTGAGCGTTTGTGGCCTATGAGCCTCTTGTTTTTTCTTACTTTGTGATTGGAAGAGAGAGTAACCACACATTTTGCTTTAACCCCCGATTTTTAAAAGATTAGGGCATTGTATCTTCTAGGAGGTATATCGTGCACGCACACTTCGCCCCGATTTGTCTTGATAGGCATAAGCATAATGAAATATTATATAAAATATTTTCATCTAATTAAGTTGAATTTGATTTGTCGAGAAACATTAATTTGTTTCAAACAAACTTTAATTCCTTTTATTTCTGGAAGATAAAATTATGCCATGAAGTATGCATGTACTTTTTCATAAGGAAAGCTGACAATGTTTAAATCTTCAATAGACCCTCAACTATGTACAATATTTATTACATATATATATAGTACCGATGAAATGTAGGAAGATAAGCAACAGTATTCAAGCTCAAAAGTCCATATTTTAATTCAAAATTAGAACAGAGCAAACATTGACTTCCAAAACATGAGGTAAGAGGTAAGATCAGGTGCCATGGAGTAGTGAGCATCCCCTTGAGGACCTGTCAAACCTCGCCCTGTGCTCCTTGTCAAGATCGGGAAATAATGTAAAAATCCGTCAACATTTTAGTGTTTATATAATGGCCTAACAATTTGTATTAAAAACGTTTGTCAACATTTGACTTACAGAATTGTTTTTGGCTGATAAGAACATTGTATCGACCATACAACGTACAAAATTATGACTTTAAACGAGACTGCTGAATGCGAATGTTTCATACAAATATGCAATATAATAATAAACCGTAGGCACAAAATTCTGTACAAAGCTTGTCAATTTTTCTTAAAAATCTTACCCTCAAATGCATTCAATATGTAAACATCTTGAATGTGGAATTCATAATATAAATTGAAATCACATGTTGTGCATTTACATAATATATTTACATGTATGTATCCTTGCATCGACGTTTTTCTGCTAGATAGAAGAAAATGTGATGCAATTTACAAAGTACTGACTAGATCGATGCAGTGTACCGTATACATGCAATGCTGGATCTTTATTTAATGTATGCTTGATTGTATATTGTTTTACGTCCCGTTCAAGATTTTTTCACTCATACAGAGATGTTACTACAAATCAGTACAGAGCTTCAAATTTAGACCTTTACTCGGCACTCAGGGCCACTGAGCATTATTAATGTTCTGTATCGTACCATTGACTGCCATGACAGTGGACCTTGGGTTTTTTAAAAAATCTCATCCGGATGACCCACAATTTCACTTCAAAATGCCGAGCGTTTGGAGAAAAAGTAGGTCCTATATACCTAATTATTTTCGGCTTCAGTCGCAGTCGTAATTCGAATAAACGACGTCCTGAACACGGAGTGAGCGCTCTACCGACTGAACTACGTAACAGTTCGTTTAACGTTTGGATTTTTGTCCCCATTTTCGCCAAAGCGAGAGGACATTAAACCTTATGGGTCTGTCCGTCCGTCACAAAAGCTCTAGCCTTGGTCATATCTTTTGAATGAGAAGAGTTAGGACTTTCATATGCATGTATATTACCCTTGACAAGACCTTTCTAAATACACTATGATTTTTAACCCTGTGACCTATTTTAAAAAATAAAACATTTCTCGTGACCTTGACTTTGAAGTTTGACTTACTTTTAAAAAACTTAAACCTTGGTCATATAGAAGAATTACACGCTTAGTTTGGACTTTCAGTAAGGCGCAGAGGTGCCAACCCTTACGATTTTGGCGTAAGTCTTACGAAATTAGCGTCCAAAATACGCCTTACGATTTCTCTCTCAAATTTTCCGATTTAGGGTTTTCTTGATTAAAGTTTATAATACCGGAATTTTCATTAATGGCTGTCTACAGTTTCTAATATTATAATTTAATATTCATAATCCCTTGATTGATCCCAACGCTTGTTTGTATCGTCGTTTAAATTTCAGATGACCGCTCGCATTCACGTGAATGTTTTAAAGTAAACAAAATGGAAACGTGGCCTAAATTGCTCAGATTCCATGTCTATTAACAAACGATCTTCAGTGGTAGGGGGCCTAGGCGGT